AAGTGACGATTATATGATGTATATGATGCGTCTCCGCTGTTGGTTGTAATATTGGTGAAGTAAATCCACACTTTACTGAAGTACCATATACTCCGCCATTGTTGTGTATGTTTGTTCGCGCTTGCCTTTAAAATCGACACGTACTGCGCATGTCTACATACCTAACACATACTACACACACGCATGACGTCACCGTTTTCAAAGATTCCCATAATGGGTGTTTACACGGAAATGACAACGGTGGCGTTTTCAAAACTTGCACTTTAAAAACCCGTTTTCAAAAAATATGCGTTTTCAGTCCCCAAAATGCCGTTGCCATGTAAACGAACAGTCAAAACGCATAAAACGTTTCTCGTTTTTGGCTGAAAACGTTGTCGTGTAAACGGCCCCTTACTTTCTCAGACACAGACTTTCAAGCTCGCAATATATTTGCACTTTTGTTAGTTACAGGTACAGCTCACAAACCTCACAGTGTTCTAGTTAGGCCTGACCAGTTTCCAGTAAAAATACTGCTATGTTATGTATAACACACATTCACACACATGTTTGCTCAAGAGTTGTGTCTCAGCTGGTCAGACTGTGGTATTTGGTTTATGGTTGGTTTCAGAGGTTGTGAGAGTGCAAGACCTCTTTCGATTTGCTTATATGGTTTGTGTGTGAGTGAGGAGCAAAAATTCTGTCCCGGTTATGATCAACACAGGCCTGTTTCACACAACACGCATGAATAGTGTGTTAAGCGGAGCATCAGCGTAACTGCTGCATCCGGCTTGTGTTGTGCTTTCACACTGACAGCATTGCTACAGTGGCTCTGTACAGAAAATAAAATGATTTCTGGGTTATCATGTTGAGTTTTTGTTATTGGTAGTATGCCACTAAGTCTATTCAGAGGGGATCACATTAAAACCAAACCACAAAGTGTAGGTTTACTCATTAGTGTTGTGTTGCATTGTGTTGTGTTTGCTGCATGTGGATCTAGTTTATGCTGGTATTTCACATTGCTTCATTAAAGCCTATGTAGCAAAATTGTATTGAGTTTGTAACATCAAAAATGGGTTTAGCACAGATACCTCATTCACAACTACACTACTCGTCAAAAGTTTGGAATAATAAAAAAAAATTTTTTTTTTTTTTTTTTTTAGTTTTTTGAAAGTAGTCTCTTATGCTCAACAAAGCTGGATTTGTTTGATCAGAAATAGAGTAAAAACAATTTTTTTTTTTTTTTTTTTAGTTTTTTGAAAGTAGTCTCTTATGCTCAACAAAGCTGGATTTGTTTGATCAGAAATAGAGTAAAAACATTAATAGTGTGAAATATTATTAAAATTTTTATAACCATTTTCTATAGGATTATATTATAAAGTGTAATTTATTCCTGTAATGGCAAAGTTGATTTTTCCGCAGCCATTACTCTAGTCTTCGGTGTCACATTATCCTTCAGAAATCATTCTGATTTGCTGCTTAAGAAACATCATATATAATATTATTATCATTATTGAAAACAGCTGTGTAAACAGCTCAATATTTTTGTGGAAACCTGTCAAACCTTTTGTAAAATTCTAAATGTCTTTTAGGGTGTTTTCACATATAGTTCCTTTTAAAGGAACCAAACCCAGTTCACCTAAAGTGAACCAGCCGAAAGTGACCTCAATCCTTTTGGTGTTCACAATATAGTGGACTCAAAAGGAGCCCGGTTCTTTTTTGGTCCTCTTCAGCACTGAAGTGATCTCAGACCTTTTTCTTGTTCACACCACAACTTCATAAGAACTCAGACAGACCCCAGCTTTCTGTGCAGCAGTGGAAAATCTGGAAGATGAAGTGGACAGGGAAGAGCTGGCAATCCCTGATCATGTCACATTTGCAGAGCTGTAACAACGCATTTTTAAATTAATTTAAAATTAAAAGGGAACATTATGAATAAAGTTAATTGCTACTATATTGTTTCGCTGCTTTCAATTGATACACGCGCACACGCACACACACATCACTCGCACACACATATCGGAGATCGCGCTGCGCACACGGAAATATTCAGGAGCACAGAAACTTGTCAATGCTGCCGTGCAAAACTATTTATTTTATTAACTGTTGGGTACATTTGATGTTTTTGAAGTAACAAAACTCACAGCTTCACTATTTGCAGAATGAGACGCACAGACACAATTCACACACGCAACTTTCATCCCTCTCTCTCTCTCTCTCTCTCTCTCTCAATAATTAATTCAAATCAACCTCCGGAGGTGGTCAGAGTATATTTTGCTTTTGGGTCATTTTAGGGGGGTCTGAGATCACTTGGTTTGTTCACATATACGAGCTGAACCACTCCGAGAGCGTTTGGAGGGCTCAAACAAAAAAAGAAAAAACACCCTTATTTACAGTTTTGATAAATTTAATGAACCCTTGCTGAATGAAAGTATTCATTTCTTTAAAAAAAAACTTTGGATGGTAGTGTATGATTCTGATTCATTGAGCCTGGCTTGTTGATATAGGTGCTGAAAAATGTGAGACTTATGCATGTGAGGTAAATCAGGCCTTAAACAGACCAAACTATTCAAAATGTTCTCTCTTTTCCATTGAAACCTCTTTTTTTATAAAATATTTAGGTTTCATCTTTTTATCATAAAATATTTAGCTTTTTCTTTTTTTTGATCTGGTGTGTGGTGTAATTAATGGAGTCTCTGTGTTTCTGTCTCTTTGCAGCCCTCCTCTCGTTCTCTCTCCTCCATCTTAGGGAAGAGTAATCTCCAGTTTGCAGGAATGACAATCAGCCTCACCGTGTCGACCAGCAGTCTGAACCTACTGGCAATCGACTGCAAACAGGTTAGGCATCACACATGCACACAAACATGAATACAGTGCCTTTTGCTGTGTGAAATTCACTGTTACGCGCAGCTAATGATGAAAGCGACCTGCGTTATGCAGGCGCTCTTCACAGCAGGATGGGTAAATAATATTAAGACTGCTGACTATTTTTGATCAGATCACCCAAGATGGATGTCAGGTGTAAATGGGGTCTTAAATTATATCTCTATTTTATTTTACTTTATTATTTTATTTTATTTTGTGTATCTAAAAGTGGAAATAGTTTAAAGAAGCCTGCATTGGGTATTTCAAGGGGCTAATCTTCAGAAATTTGTCGACATTTAACTAAATAAGTGTTACCCAGAGCCCCAATAGATTATATAAAGTTGGTGTAGTCGGCTGGAGCAGATATCCTCTGGCTTGTTTACAGCTGAACCACAGGACCTTTTTTTCCCTCGCTAATAATTCTTCAGTTATATGCCAGTGTGTTTCGCATTAGCGCAGTGAGGTTTATCAGCGTTCGGGCTGCCCAGCAGGCAGCTGACTGGAGCCCAGAATAGGGCCTGGAGTAATTGCCCTGCTGATATGTGTTTATCTTAATGAATCTAAAGCATGCAGAATTACTGCACACAACTGCTCTGTTCCTCTATGTTAGACCACAGTCTCACCATATCATTTCTCCCCTTGTCTCCCTCTCTGTCCATCCTTTGCTTTCACTTATCCACTTGTCGCTTCCATGTTTGCTCATTTTCATCTCATGCCAACTGCACTTTTTTGTCCTTTTTTTTTTGTCACATTGTCCTGTTCTCCATCCCTCTCTCCCTACAGATTATTGCGAACCATCACATGCAGTCCATCTCTTTTGCATCAGGAGGAGATCCAGTGAGTCGCACCGTCTCTCAATATCTCCTTCTACTTCTTATTCTGTCTTTATTAGGGATGTTCATCATTGGTTGCTGATCGTCGTTGTTAATTAATCGATTAAGCTTATCAGTTGTTAATTTAATCAACTGTAGCACAAATCTGTTTAGTAATTAGCTGAGCGGATGGCCATGCAAAGCCAAAGTCCACAACACATACATACATCCTCGGATCGCCTTTACAAATGGGCTCAATGTAGTCATTGTTATAGCATTTCTTTTTAAATAATGATTGCATTCACTGCAGGGACCTTGATAGTGTATTGAAGTACAACGTGACAGCAGTAGGGATGTGCAAAACTACATATTTTCAAAATCAGTTAGTTGGTGGGTTGCCTGAGTCTGTCTAAATTCATTAAATTATTCATTATAATAAAATGATAATTAAATTGTAAGTTAATTATTATTATTAATGTAATTCAATTGATAAAAAAATAGAATAATATACAATTTTGTAATTTAAAATAATTGTTCATTACAATTATTGATTAATAGTTATAACATTTTAGAATATATATATATATATATATATATATGTGTGTGTGTGTGTGTGTATATATATATGTAAAATTTAAACCAATACTTGAACAATTAAAAATTAATAATTTAATTAGAAAATAATAATTTAATGATTATATATAATATATTTAATTATTGATTTAAATTAATTTGATTTAATATTAAATGTAATATATTACATCTTTAATTTTGATTAAATATGTACATATAGTTAATCAGTCAGTTAATGGATACATCCCTATTTAATTTCCTCATATTCATCTTACTCTTGGTTCTATCAGCTTTACTCTCATTCTGTCATTTCTTGCTCATTTGTCTTATTCATCTGTCCAGCTGTCTGTAGTCATCTGTTCTTTTCCCTCTACTGTTTCCTCCTCTGTTTCCTGCCCTTTAGTGAATAGACATCCTCAACTAAAAGACTTACTATCTTCTGCTTGTCCCTCTGTTCTTTGTGTCTACTCTCTAATTTCTCTTAATGTCCTCCTGTTCATTCATCCTTTCTTCTTCTCCATCCCTCTCTTTCTGTTTCTCCCCAGGACACAGCAGAGTATGTTGCCTACGTCGCCAAAGACCCTGTCAATCAGAGAGGTAAAAATATGCCACGACACTTTAGCATTTAGTTCTTTGAGTAGCATTCAAGTGAATTGTAAATTACTGCTTTCCGTGCACAATTTGTTTTATATGATGTTAAATACTAAATTACTTAATTATATTTAGCATTATTTATTATGGCTTTAAAGGAATTATTTACCCAAAAGATTTGGGTTAATTTTTGGGTGAACTATCACTTTAAGGAAAATCTTGTTCCTGGCCATGACTGATGTCTTGATATACAATACCTGATATTTTGTAGCATGTCATATCCTGGAATGCTCAGAGGGCTTGGCTCAGGAGGTCATCAGCACCATCGGCCAGGCTTTTGAACTCCGCTTTAAACAGTACCTGAAGAATCCCCCAAAACTGGTTACCCCTCATGATCGGTATGTGCCTGTTCAAACAAGTGCTGCAAACATTTACATTTATGTCAGTGTGTTTGTACATTGTTTAATGATGGTACCTCCCTAGGGTCTTTGGAAACCCCCTGTATGTCTGTTTACAGCATGCGTTTACGGTCTGTGCTGAAGCACATGACATTGCGGCTATTTGCACTAGGTACCCACATTGTATGCTGTAAAACATCTTATTACTAATGAATGCTTTTGCCTTATTTCTAATTAAAATATCTAAAAAGATGACAGATAATACAAATATACTTTATATTCTACATACATTTTATGAAAACAATTATTATTTTATGCAATGTTGATTTTCACTGATTTTAACTAAAGCTAAAACTATTAAAAATATTTTGTTAATTTAAATAAAGCTGAAATAAAGTATAAATATTAGATAAAAAACTGAATGAAATGAAAATGAGAACTGATGCCTAGGCAACTAACGGAAATAAGTTTAAGGTACTAAAACTACAGGTTAAAACTGAAACAAAAATTAAAGCTTAACAGAAATATAATACAACTAATAAAAATGACTAAAACTTGAACTAAAATTGAAATGAAAACAAAAAATATATAAAATATAAATAATGCTAAAACAACACTGCTCAAGAAATGTATCCTGTTTTAAGGATTTGTGGGAATTTTGACTAGAAAACAAGACCAAAAAGGCTAATTAAAAAGTTCTATTTTTTTGGAGCGTATTTTATTTGTTTACTGTTCCTACTTCCTTTTTATTGAGTGTGTGTCTGTTCCTGCTGGTATCACAACAAAGCAATACATCATTTGTCATCACTCAAACAGCATCTCTCTATATATAATAATATCATAATGTTTATCTTTACCTTTATCTCTCTCTCTCTTAGGATGGCTCCTTTCGATGGGTCGGCCTGGGAGGAAGAGGAAGAGAACCTGCCTCCACCCCCAGAGGTTCCGTATTACAATAACTTCCCCGGAAAACAGCCTCCCCCTGGAGGCATGGTGGACATGAGGACCCGTCCTGGACACAGTACAGGAGCCACGCTGGTGAGACACACATTTGTACAAGCATGTTAGTGAACATTGGTGTTGGGGATGTTAAGTCTTTTGAATTCATTCATAACCACCAAGTTTTGTTCAGTGACTGTATTTATGTGTTATGAGTGAATCATTAAGTGGATTTGGTTCGTTAAAAAGAACTGATTCGTTCACAGCCAAAATAAGTCTGATTATCCTTTATAACAATTTGCGTGGATGAAAATCTATAAAGAGATTTCAGTAAGTGTTTAAGAATCATAAGCATTTTCCTTACAAATGGCAACAAAGCAGATCTTTAATTTTTCCTCCATTGTGTGAACTGCTAAGCACGAGTAAGCATTTGTCAAGCTCTACAATAAAGAAACAGAACACGCTTGCATACACATTGGTGGCTAAAAGTTTGGAATAATTAAAATTTTAATGTTTTTGAAAGAAGTCTCTTATGTACACCAAGTCTGCATTTATTTGATAAAAGTACTGTAAAAACTGTAAAATTGTGAAATATTATTTCACTTTAAAACAATTCTTTAGTATATTTTAAAACATGAATTTTCAGCAGCCATTATTCCAGTCTAAAGTGTTACATGATCCTTCAGAAATCATTCTAAAATGCTGAATTAGTTCTCACGAAACATTTTTTTGTATTATCAATGGTAGAACATTTTTGCTGCTCAATGTTTTTATGGAAACCATGATACCACTACAATTCAAAGGTTTCTGGTAAGTACAGTTAAAAATATATATATTTTTTAATTCTACACATATGCATTAAATCAGTGATAGTAAAGGCATTTTATTTCAAATAAATTATGTTCAGTGAACTTTCTATTCATTAAAGAATCCTGAAAAAATGTGTTCCACAAAAAAATTTAAAACGATAAAGACTGTTTTCAACATTGATGATAATAATGACAATGAATACTAGACTAATGGTTGCTGAAAATTCTGTTATGTGTGTGTGTGTGTGTGTAATAATTAATCATTATCAAATTATTCATTATTATTTAAATAATATTTATTATTTGATTCATTATTATTAATTAATAATATTGAAACAATAATAATAATTAATGATTGCATTTATACAATCATTAATTATTATTTAATTGAATAAAATAATTTCATATACTCCAAGGAATGCTATTGGCTCATGTTATAGTCTTCACAAGCTGGAAAAGCCACCAGCGCAGTCACTCAGTTCAAACTAGAGCTCACCGTCTTCAAAAGACAGAGACTTCAGTGTACAAGAAATATGATTCAGTGTATAAAAGTGAAGATTCATTTACAAACACTGATTTGTTAATCAATGAAACTCCACTGGTTAGTATATGTGTCAGCACTCTAATTCACTGCTTCTCCACAGCCCTATGGACAGCCCAGCCAGAACGATATTCACAAGCAGCCTCTGCCTCCGCTACCAGGTCAGATTTGCACAAACACACATGCTTCACACTAATAATCCCTGCCCTGTTTCTTTCATAGTGCCACATAGTATTTGTCAGTCTTATATTGTCGCACTTCCCTTCATTTAATTTTGCTCTCAGCTGAGACTGTCATTCTGCAGAGTGAGTCAGCAGTTTTTCTGTCACTGTTCATTGCTCTCTGTTGGACGCTGCCCAAACCTATTACACGGCTCCTTTGAGAGGTGGCTTCTGGATCGCTGGCCTTGCTGACAATAGGGCTCAGAATGGCACCGCTTAAGCTCACTCACCTGAAGGTTAACTCACTTTAACCTCACAGTCGTCCTCTCTTTTCTCTTTCTCCCTTTCAGTGGGTGTTAAGGAGGGAGGCTTGTTTGATGACCCCTCATATGTCAATGTGGATAAACCCCGCCTCCCAGCGGCAGCAGCCAATGGAAATGCTCACAGAGATGCATTTGATATGAGTGAGTAACGAGTGCTTGGCAATTTGGTTGGAAAAATATCTTGATTTCTGATGTATGTCTTGATATTCATGTATTTGCTCTAAAATGGCAAAAAATTGTGATTTTACTTTTTTCCTTAATCAGTGTAAAAATCAGTAAAAATCTACTGAATGATAATAAAAGCAATTACTTTTTTTAAATGTTCATTCATATTCGTTAATATAACAATAGCATACAGTAAAGATCTGTTTAAAATTAATAAAAGCATGATTTGCAGTTATTGACTAGTTTTTTTATTATTTTAAATTATTATAATTTTAAGACTTAAGTTTTTTTTTAGGATTCTTTGATGAAATGAAAAAGTTCAAAAGAAATTTATTGTTTGTAACAATTTTCTTTGTAACAATGCAAGTCTTTACTGTCACTTTGATCAATTTAATGCATCCTTGGTAAGTAAAAATATTAATTTCTTTCAAAAAAAATAAATCTTACCCCAAATCTTTGAAAGGTAGTGAACAGTATATTTTTACTAAAATGTTTTAATACATTTAATACAAATTTTACCAACTCCTAACACTTGATACATATCAATATATTTTCTGTATGGAGAGTCCTTATATATGTTTTGGAGTTGTTTTTCCTGTTTTGAGGAGAATATTTGAGTTTACTGTAGTTCAGTTATAGGTGCAGTTGTAGAATAACTGAGTGTAAATTCTCCAAAGATACACCAATATCGTGCTCTCTGTCTTTCAGAGCCATTTGATGCTGCTTTAGGCGTGTCGGGTACAGTGGCGCCCCCTCTGGCAGAGCAGCTGCAAAACGAGTCCTGGTTCCACGGACCTCTAAGCCGCAGGCAGGCCGAAAGACTCCTGACCAAGGATGGAGACTTCCTGGTGCGGGAGTCAGGCACCACACCAGGCCAGTACGTCCTCACTGGACAGCAGGGCGGCCAACCTAAACACCTGCTTCTGGTGGATCCAGAGGGAGTGGTGAGTAATGTGATGAAATATACCACACTCTCAATATTTTGTCCTTGATAAAACATTATATAATTCTATAGCATGTTAATACTTATTCGAATTCTTTTTTTTTCCTTTCATAGGTGCGCACCAAAGACCACCGCTTCGAGAGCGTCAGTCACTTGATTAGCTATCACATGGACAACCGGCTGCCAATCATCTCGGCAGGAAGCGAGGTGTGTCTGCAGCAGCCAGTTGATCGCCGAGCTTAAAAAAAAAAAAAAAGGCTGATTTTTCTC